GTACGTTCAAAACAAAATTTGCGTTATCAAAATTTATCATCAAACTGGAAAGATTTGAATAAAGTAATGAAATATAAAAATATTTGCAAAACTGTAAAAATAGAATTGCGTAAAGCAAGATGTAATTATGAGAATGATCTTGTTGAAAAATCAAAGATAAATCCGAAACTGCTATGGGATCGTCCATAAATTACGTAACGCAAAAATTCACAACAAACAAAACAAAAAAAGATCAAAAGTTTTCCCTCCCAGAGTCTTAATTTAAATAAATTATCAAAATAGAAAAATAAGTTAAATGAAAATCGCCGCGTAAAAGAGCTTATTATCTCCTACTTCTATTCTTAAAATATTTTTTACGTTGCGTAATTTATGGACGATCCCTATATAAATATGTGAATAGTCAAAAAACAATTAAATAAGTAATTAAAACAATAAGAGATCAAACTGGTTGCGTAACAAATAATCAAAATAAAATTATTGAAGTTTTAAATAAACAATTTCAAGATGTGTTTACCATCGAAAATTCTTCAGTAGAGCTTCCACAAGTCGAGAATTTAGGGGATATTATTATTGATGGAGTTAATACAGATTATTTTGATGTTTAAGTAGATTGAAACATGTTGATATCAATAAAACATAAGGAGTTGATTTTATACATTCGTTAATTTTAAAAAATTGTGCAGATTCCGTAGCATTGCCATTAACTTTAAATTTTAAAGAATCTATTGTTAAAAGTGAACCACCAACTAAATGGAGAGCAGCAAATATTACACCACTATTCAAAAAGGGAGATAAATTAGAAGCTGCAAATTATAGACCAGTGTGAATTACTTGTAAAATTATGGAAGGTATAGTCAGAGACTGCATACAATCATATTTAATGAAATATAAATTTATATCGAAGTCACAACATGGTTTTGAAATATAAATTTATATCGAAGTCACAACAAGTCTTGTACAACAAACTTATTAGAAGCGTTGGATTATAGTTCATTTAATTTATCGATTGGTATTTCGGTAGATGTAGCATTTTTAGATTTTGTTAAAGCTTTTGATTCTGTTGCTCACAAAAGCTATTGGTTAAACTATCTTCATATCGAATTATGATTTATTATATGGTTTATTATTAAAATGGATTGAAGCTTTTTTAAAAAACAGAATACAAAGAGTTATCTAAGGTAGCGATTCCACGGCTCAGCGAAAAACATTTAACGTTTGACGAAAAACGCCGATTTTTCATAAACTTTACTCTCTCATATCTTTTTGTAGAGTTAAGCAATCACCTTGAGATTTTTTGTATCAATTAGTGTTACTCAACCTCTTTCCAGCCATATATAGAAAGTACTGTGCTTTATATGGCTTTACTTAAATATTATCAATATCCTGAGACCAATTTTGATAAAAAAACTAGCCGCGGGAACGTTTTTTTAAACGAAGCTTTTTCAGGTAAGGATTCCTAAGTACCAAAACACATCCAATTTGCAAGAAATTTTCCATACAAATTAAAAAAAGGATGAGGAATACAATGGAATGTGGACCTTTTTGATATTTGCTCTTATTTGTTTAGTTTTCAGTGTTGTAAAAGTTTGTTGTCAGTTTTTTTTTGGAAAAAAAACCTTTTTCTCAAAAAGGTCCAGGAGGAAAAGACAAGTATAGCCTTTCCTCTATCTATCTAAATCAAGTATTTATTTATGATTTCTTAATGATTTGATACTTAGGAAATGTATTTATAAATTATGTATGTTTAGCTTTTTTTCAATTCGCCGTTTTTTGTTATGATTTTTGCGTTTGTTTTTGTTTATAATATTTCTTTTTGGCATTCGCAATTTATTAATGTATTTTTGATGTTTACTTTTCACTTTCTAATCTAAAGCTTATTTGTACACTTAAGAAGTAGTTAAATAGAGAAAATAATTTTTTGAAAATATGACATAACTGCTTTATATAGCATAAAACTCTTGTTTTTGTTCCTTCCATCATTTTTGTTTTTCAAAATAGAATAAAATTTTCATTCTGTGAATGATATTGAAAGTGAATGTGAAACTCTTTAGATTTCAAGCTGTTAAAAACATTTTATTTTGTTTTTTAAAGGTATTTTGTTTGGATTCTTCCACAAAATTGCAAGCTGATTGTGTGTCATTAGTTGTTTTCAAAACAGTGCTTTCAAAATTGTTTTTATTTATCATGCTTTTTGTTGATCTGATTGGGAACGCTTTCTAGCCAAATCAAGTTATTTTTCCAAATTTAAATTTAGTTGAAACAATTGGTTAATCTTACAATCCTTTCTAACATCTCTTTTTTTTTTTGACTTCTTGGACATTATATTTTGATAAAATCCCTTTATTTTTTTTATTTATATTCATTACATCTTGTCTATTTTGAAATTCAAGGAGCTTAATTCTCTTTTTGTATTTGTTTATTTGATAGGTCAAATTACCAGATAATAAAGGTAGTTGTTGATCGAAATTGGAAACTGGGAAATTCTCTTTATTTACTTGAGTTTCAAGAAAACAATCATCAGAATGACTTTTTAAAGGCTTGTCTACAAAAGAACTTTGAGTAACAGAGCTTGAAAAAACATCATTAGCAGTTTTCAAATTTAAATCAAAAAATAAACTTAAAGAAGCAGAAATATCTTCTAGAACAAATTCACTAGAATTTGTTTCAGAAGATGTTTGGCTAGAAGTAAGGATAGAATAATTAACAGAAGATAGCAAATCATCAACTTTGTTAAATCAAGCGAGATTATTTTTTATTTTAAGTATCTGTATTTTCAACAAGGCTTGAAGCAGCTATTTTTAGAGTTACTGGAAGACCCAATATGAAGTAAAGTAACATTCCAGTAACTTTCTAAAAAACTATTTTTAGGAAGTTACTGGAAGACCCAAGATGAAGATTATAAAGCAAGATAACGATTAACAGATGACTTAAAGGATTGCAAATTATTTGAATCAGGAAAAAAAGATGACTGGCTAGTATCACAAAAAACTGATGTTTGAGGAAAAAAACTATACAAATAAGAATTTTTGGAGCACTTAGGAACAATAAAATACTATATTATTGTATACAAATACTAACTTAGCAATGATTTGTGTATAAGGTTTCCATAAGAGGTCAGTACAAAAAGATAGTTAGAGACGATTTAAAGTAGAAGATACAGTAACAATGTTGCCATTTATGAATATAGGAATATTAAAAAGATTGCAAATACTTTTTTAAAACTTCGCCAGATACACCATACCATCCAGAGCAACAGAATGTGCATCACCGCCTTTATCTAATGTTAATTTCAAACCTTTCTGTAACAACAGTTATTAGGTCCAAAAACAGATGATTGAAATCCATATGTTTCTTATATCATCAACAAATAGAGCCAACTTTGAGTTTTTCAGGATGATCATTGATGTTGGTTAGAAATGGTAAAAGGCTGAGGATAGAAGTTCACCTTGTTAGTTAAGTATTGACACTAGCATGAATTTGCAGCGTTTAGTGCCACAGGTTCTGTGTGTTTTGTGATTGTGATGTTACTGTTGTGATGTTTTGTGTTGATAGACAACTTGGCTTACCTTCTCGCTGGTGTCTATCGTTAAAAATGATTATTAGGTTGTTTTGTTACTCAAACTCTCTACCTCTGATCATTCACTAAAAACCAAGAGATAAGTTTTAGAATAACACCATTTTTTATTTTAATGTTGTTTTCACTTTTTTATCTTAGTTGTTGTCACATAAACAATCTCAAAGAGTAAGTTTCTTATTCTATATTTATTTAGTTTTAGTTGTTAATTTATAATTTTTTTTTATTTTTAAAACTAGTTAATCTGTGTGTTTTAATAATAGTTTTATTACAATTTTAGGTTGAGTTTCTGCTTTTACACTGCTGTTGTAAGTACTTAAAATTTTAGGAAGTTCTATTGCTGTTAGTTATTTTCATTCCAATTTAAATTTTAATTTTGTTAAAGAATCTTCTGTCTGTTAAATAGGTAATTCTGAATGATTTAAATATATTTCAATGCCCATACTAATTTACTAATCGGTTTGTAAATTAAGCAATAGTTTTAAACAGATGAATTAATTGGATTCCACGATCTTTTATACATATTTGCAAGGAGTTTTTATAATATAACCCAAATTTTTTCTAAAAAACTAGGTAAATAAGTAAAAACACTTCAGTCTGTAAAATTAACAATTTTTTGATAATTTTGACAGATGCAAAAATATTATGGCATTTAATTTTATTATAGTTTTGTATCCCCATAAAAAATTTCAGGTCAAATGTAATAACAGTTGAAAATTATCAAATATATTTAAAGTCAAATAGGTTTGTGCAATATTGATTTGTCCAATAGGTTGGTGCAACCCTTTTGTAGTAATTTATTGACCGGTCTGCAAATTATGCAATAAATTCGAATTGATGTATTTTACAGATTCTATGATTTCTTTATGCATATTTGCATATTGTAACCTTAATTTTTGTTGTTCATAACACAATTAAATTAGTAAAAACACTCCAGTCTGTAAAATAAATGGTTCTGTGTGATCTCAATAGATTTAATAAAAACTGGATTACTATTTAAAATTTCAAGTCAAATGTAATAACGGTTCAAAAATATCAAACATACTTAAGGTCAATATCCATAATTGGTGTATACATCTTATTTTCTTATAGTTCTTTGATCACTATGAAAAATTTTAAGTCAAAAGTAATAACGATTTAAAAGTTATTCAAAAGTCAGTTTGACCGCAAAAATATATGAATTAGTAAAAATCCTTGGTCTGTAAAATAGATGCTTCTGGTCAATCCTGACAGATTTAAAAAAAAAAAAATTATTAAAGAATTTATTTAAAAAATTTATTTAAGGAATATTCTCCTTATAATTGATTGGTCACTATGGAAAATTTCAAATCGAATGTATTATCGGTTCAAAAGTTATTTAAAAGTCAGTATGACCCCAAAAACATATAAGTTAGTAAAAACCCTCGGTCTGTAAAATAGATGGTTCTGGTCAATACCGACGGATTTTTAAAATTTTTTTTTTGGATTTTAACTTTCTTATAGTTGATTGATCACTATGGAAAATTTCAAGTCAAATGTATTATCGGTTCAAAAGTTATTCAAATGTCAATAATGCTATCATTTTTAGTGCCAATTCGCCGCAAAATTTCCCATACTTAAGCCCTATACCCTATATAAGCCCTATACCTTTTGTCAAAAAATCACCCGTTTTTTTAACTTCAAAAAGTTTAATAACTTTTGATCCGCTTAACTTCAAAGGTCGAATAACCCCTCATTTTTTAAGTCAAACCAAGTTCTACACAATGGCATTAATTATATATGAATATTTAACTTATAAAAAAATCGTGTGGAAATGCTATCCAAGGTGATATTGTTTCTTCATGGCGCAAAATTTTCAGTGGTGTTCCGCAAGGATCCGTAATAGGACCCTTATTATTTGTTATTTTTATTAATGATATATCAAATATATTTAAAAATAAGTCAGAATTGTATGTAGATGATACAAAAATTCTTTCAAAAGTGAATGAAATAAATGTTGAAAACAGCTTGCAAAAAAATCTGGATAGTGCAGAGGAATGGTCTAAAAAGTGTCTCTAAGGTTTTAATTCTAGTAAATGTGTTATAATGCATTATGGTATAAATAATCCGCGATTGAAATATACTTTAAATGGTATTGAACTGAAAGATTCTGAATGCGAGAAAAAATTTAGGTGAATATTTTTCAACAAACTTGAAATGGAAAAAACAAATTATATCAATTATTTCTAAAGCAAATTCAATGATGGGTATGTTAAAGATGACATTTTCACGAATTGATGCAAAATTAGTTAAAAATTTGTATAAGGTATTTACTAGACCTCTTATTGAGTTTACAGTGCCTGTTTGGTTACCTCATTTTAAATGAGACATCACTTTTGGAAAAAGTTCAACGCAGGATGACTAGATTAGTTCCATCATTAAAGAAAATTAATTATGAAAAGAGATTGGAAATATTAGATATATCTACATTGAAAACAAGGAGGGTTTAATACAAGTGTTTAAATTACTGAACAGATTTGAGGAAATTGATTTAATTAATGAACCGAAGCTTAAAATTGATTCAATTACTCGACGTCACAATCTTAAATATAAGAGAAATTGTGAACTATTTACCTTGGCATCATTTTTTATTAAATTGTACAGCGAATTAATGGAACGCTTTACCGGAAACTGTTGTTACTTCAAAAACTGTCAATCAATTTAAGAATAGATTAGATAAGTATAATGCCAAATCACAGAAATTTTAACTAAACATTTTTAAATATATATTTGGATTAATGATTAACCACACTCGCTGGATTCGTACAGTTACAGTTTAACTACTAACTAACTAACTAACTCATAACTTAAACCATCCCTAACTTTGGCTAAACTTATATATCATTCGTTTTCTTTCAATCAAAATCGTCACAATATTTTAAAGGATTTTAGAAATAAGATCTGTATAAAGGTGCCCATCTTAAAATTCGCTTTTTAAAATGTTTTTTCAATATTACCTTGAAATTTTTAAAATTATGGTAACTTATCTATCGTTAAAATCATGTTAGTTTATTAAAAAGTTCTTCACCTTCAAAATAAGATTTTTGTTTTTCTGGTATGTTGTACACATCGTTTATTTGGCATTTACTTAAGGTTTTTATTATAATAGGTGTAAGGAATAAAATACTTACTCCTTAAGGCTTGTATTACATTAGGTGTATGATGTTTCATAAAAAGTTGGCTTATTGCATTGGATTTGCAGTTTACCTCAAAAATGCGAAATACAGTTAACCCAACAATACATACTGAATGAGTCTGGAAATCAGTTTTAAAAGTTTATGAGTTTCTTGTACTCTCAGTTCCAACATAGTATGTTTGTAAGTAATTTTTTTTTTATTCTAGGTAACTTGCCTTTGCTAAAGCTATATCTGTTCCAAACCAATAAATTTTTACCTCATTTTATGTAAATTTCTATGAAACTTTAAACAAACAAAAAATTTAAATCATTTATTCTATATAGAATAAAATTATAACATGGATAAAGTTAATTGAACTCGAAATTTTTGAAAATCAGTCTTATTGAACTATGATGAAAAATTCTGTTGAACTATTGTTTTTTATATTCTTCTTCTATTTTATTTTGTTTTTTATATTCTTTCTATTTTCTACTGTCTAGAGTTATTTTTATAGGATTTATAAAATCAATCATGTTAAATCCTTTTATATCTTTTATACCCTTACTCGTAAAAAGGTATAACCCGTATACGGGTTATACCTTTTTTAATGAATAGTTTTTTACTAATAATTTTAATTAATTTTAGAAATGATAACTGGAAATAAAGAAATTGCGATTCATGGGTTAATCTAAAATACATGAAAGGAAAAAAAGTTAAAAAAGCTGAGACATCCACCAATTGTTTATTTATTTTTATTTTTTATTTAAATAAACAAATCATTTTTACGTATTGAAAGTTTTCTTACTTATAATTTAATGTTATAGCGATGCATAATTAAAAATGGTATATGTAAAAAAAAATTGAAATTCGCACCAAAAACTTTAATTTAATTGAGTATTTTTTGTATCAATGGAAAGCTCATGATGTCAAGATTATTATGTTAAAAAAAAAAAATTTCGTCTATGCTGCGCTCACGAAAATATTTACGTTTGATAATAAAGAGTTAATCTTGATTCTCAGATATTGCATTATTAACAAAATCAACTTTTGGAGGTGATAAAAAACCACCAACGAGCGCTCTCTGTCAATAAAAGTTCCCAAATAATATTTGTTAACATTTATTCATATTTATTGACACAAATGTTGTCAAATTACCTTTAAATTTAAACTTAATAAGATACTCTTATTTTAGTTGACGATGATGGTAGAGCCTAAATATATTTTTATATATTTAAATGCTATTTTAATTTTTAAAATGATTTTTACGTATTTAAAATGATATTTTAAAAATATTTTTTTATATTTAAAATAAGTAAACATTTTTAGATGACACAATATTTTGAGACTTGACACAATTTGTGAGTTAATTTTTACATTTACTATAGATTTTATTAGAAAAAAATTAAAACTTTGAAAATAATTTTATAAAATATAATAATATAAATTTATATCGTTGTTTTTAAAAATGTTAATTCTATAAAAGTAAATCTTTATAAGCGATATAGTTCAAAAATAGTGAAACAATAAAGAAATAAAAAAAACGCGCTTATATTTCTCTTTTTTAAGAAGGATTTTTGTCTTGGGATCTTGGGAGTGTGTGCTGGTATATACAATAGTTTGCTTACTAGTACATATCCCAGCACACTCTTATCTAACTAGATGACCAGGGGTTGATTAGTATTACGGTAGCATGCGTCTTAAAGTATTAAAGTATTTTTTAAAAGACAACGTGAACCCATTGCCTAATGTAATAACGCGACCCGATTTATTATTATCCAAAGCCGAGAGGACTTCAACAGTCAAGTAGACTACTTTATTGTCCCTCTCTAAATTATTTGAGTTTGAAACACAAACTTTGTCATTGCGCAGAGAAACAAGTTGAACGCGGTATTGCCAGGGACGTGGTGGAGATCAAACGTAAAACTTATGAAGTGAGTGCTCTATCACTACACCACTATTCCATTAATTTACTTATAGTATACTTAATAAAAAGTGAATAAATAATACTAAATAAATAAGTTGTTGAATGGAAAAAAGTATATAAATGTACATTTTTTTTTTCTTTTTATTTTATTGGAATTTTTCAAAGACAAAGTTGATGTCCAGTTACATTATATTTATGTCCTAACATTTATCAAAAGTTGTAATACGGGAACTTGAAAAAGCTAGGAAAATTAGATTTCCGGGTTATCTTGAAAATAAAAACAAGTGGTCAAATTTAGATTAGTAACACTTGGTAAAAAACGACTGCTGCATTGTTAATTTGTTGTTTTTAAAATATATTTGTCGCAGAGAGGTTGCAAGTTGGATTGAGATTTGTTCAACAATTAAATAATTTACATTAACCAAACAAACCTTTCATGATATTGTTGGTTTGCTAGAAAAAGGCTATACATTTGTTCTCACTTTTAATTTATAAAATGATTCGTTGGAACTTTTTTATAAAATGATCCGTTGGAAAATAATGTGCAAGATGATTAAGATATTAGGATCTTTAATTTTATTTATTATTAGTCTTGCCTATATATATATATATATATATATATATATATATATATATATATATATATATATATATATATATATATATATATATATATATATATATATATATATATATATATATATATATATATATATATATATATATATATATATATATATATATATATATATATATATATATATATATATATATATATATATATATATATATATATATATATATATATATATATATATATATATATATATATATATATAATTTTTTTCTTTTTGCGTGTGTCTTATATAGTTGGATGATATACAGTTGCGTACAAGGAAGGAGGGGGATCCAAAATTAGTGGTTTTTCTGCGTACGTACTTTATGGATGCCCCTTTAGCTTGTTGGTTTATACTTGACGCAAAGCTGTTTTATTAAGCTGTTTTATATAACATTTAAAGCTTAATTTTTATTGAAGTTTTTTAATTAAATTAAAGCCTAATTTTTATTGAATTTTTTTGTATAGTCTTATATGTATTTACGTACTTTTAAAAGTGTCAGATAAACAAAATTTTTCTCAAAAGGACCCAAAATATAAAAAACAGTTCAATTTTAAAAAGTAAATTTAACCAGGGTGAAATAAGGCGACAATTATATTTAGTTTTTATGATTAGTTATGTTTTATACCAAGTTAATAAAGAAAATTCAAAAAAATTAGAAATCCGTTGACTTTTCGCCTAACGATCCAAATAAAGAGATCACTCAAAGTCTGAACTCGTTATATGCGCATATTTTTTGTTTTTAATTTTGCAAACAATAAAATATTCGACATTTATTAGTCTAGCCAGAAAAATTAAAGGAGTTAAAAACCAAATAAAAAAATATGCTAAAATTTGAAATGGGAATGAAAATTGTTTGAAGTCAATGTAATAGAGTCAAACAATTGTAGATGTCAGACTTTATTAGCTTCTTTAGTTTTGTATATATTTATCATGGTTTTAAATTAAACAAATGGGCTGTTAATATCTATAATAAAAAAATATCGGGTTAAAAAAAACAATCAAAATCCTGCCTGCAAAATTTTAACATCAACATCGTTTCATGAAACAGAGCTCAAATTTAATGAAGTTTATAAATTTTTTGATGTTTATAAATTAATGTTTATAAAGTATGTTTATAAATGATCTTTATAAAGTATAGTTAAATAAAAACTCAATTGCTATTACAAAACTTTATGAGTCTTTATAAATCAGTTAATACATCAAAATTTTAAAGTCTGGCTTTAATATGTATCCCATAATATCTATTTTTTAAAATTACAAAACAGCCACAATGTTGTCCGCATTGGGACAGTATAAACTCTTGAGTTTTACATGGGATACAGAACATTCTGTTTTTGCGTCACTTAATCGAGTGAACCTTTCAGATAAAGTATTAATTTAACGAGCAACAACCCAAAATCTTATTAGATCTGAACTCGGATTAGCCCATCCAAGATCTATTTATTTCTATCAATATCTACTCATTTATATTAAATCTCGGCAATACATTAATTTACGGACTATAACTTTATAAAAATGATGATGTGACAATTCAAAAGCTAGCCAGAATTGTAAAGAGTGCATTAAAGACATTTCTAAATGTGTACAAAAAACAAATTGAACTTATTTATTAGTATTTTGAACCACAAAACAACGCATGGTATTATTGGATCTCAATATCTCAATTGAACGATAAAACTCTTTTGTAGATCATGTCAAGTAGGTATGACGTAGTTGTGGAACAAGTTTTATAAATTTTAAAAATGTTAAAAAGATAATTTCCTAGGAGAGTTTGAGTGAAAAAATCCTAAAAGATATTGTGAGAACTTTGAAACCCTCATTAGAATGATGGAATACAAAGGAACATTTAAACACTTAAAGAAAATATTCCGAATAATCTTTTTTCTTTTTTTTAAATATTTGACTATTTTTGTTTTGCTTTATACTATGACCTTGTAAAAATATTTATAGTATGTGATTTACAGTGCTTGCATTATTACATTTTTAAACAGGAAAATTCTAATAACAACTGATCGAGATTTCGGTCAAATAGGATAAGAATTATTTAAGGAACTATACTTTGTTTAGATTGGACAGCTTTGTTATGAAATTGGATCCTCATGTTGTCTATTTTTAAGTTTGAATTGTTCGACCAAGTATGTAAACAGTTATCGCGGGACTTTAAAATGTCTTGAACGATCAAAATGTTCTATACCCATTTAATTTGTAAACAAGAATTAAAATTCTCACCGGTGTGCTTTTTATCCATATGAACAGCCCCCAAGATAGTTCGGAAATTCTTTCTTGAAAAGCAATCTTCGAAAATTATTTTACAACTTGTTGTTTGAAAGTACAAACTTTTCTTACTGAGATTTTATAAGTGTAAACTTTTCTAAACTCCAAGCATGAAAGCAATGCATAGTAAGTTAATAAGTTTTTTTAAACACGATTTTAAGTGATTTTAACCTCACAATAAAATGATTTTAAACAATTTATGACTGTAATTTTCCTAAAAAATTTTTGCAGTTACTTTTCAGCAAATATGTGTAAAAAATCACAGAAAAAATATTGTAAAAACTGTTGACAATTTAATAAAAATGTGATTAGTTTTTTAAAGGAATTGTTTTTAATGGTTTTTAGAAATAAAGGTAGCAATGATTCAAATGAAAGTAGGAACTGATAAGGCAAACAATATTGCACATGCTCAAGAACTCATAAAACAAGCAGCATCAAAGAATGCTCGACTGATTTGTCTTCCGGTTAAATATTTCATATATTCAATATTCAAATTTTAATAATAACGTGTGAATGTATATTTGTCTAATTTAATCTAACATTATTACAAAATACTATAATGCGTAAATAATATTTATATAGTTCTGGTAATATATAAACATTAATCTCTGTTTTATTAACATAAATTGTTTGCGGGCATGTAAAGATAAATTGACTATTATCATTTGCAGTTAGTTATAATCATTATTGAATATAAATGTAAACAAAAAGGCAAAAATTTAAAAACATGATGGAGGTGCATTATTATATTTTTATACATTGTAACATATTTTGAAATAGTTACAATCAGTAAAGAACAATCTGTTTACATCAAGAAAGTTTTAAAGTTTGTTAAATTAATCACTTTATTTTATTCTTTTCCTTATTTACGCATAATATGATAACATATAAGTAATAGAATTAATATTATTTACCATATTTACCATTTTATTGTTTTTAATGTTTGTAGAGCTTGGGCAGTTTTGGATTATTCTACTTCTCCAATACTTTTGATTCAGCATGTTTTTTTCTCTTATGCTTTCTCTTGTTGTTTATTATTTCAATTTTGTGCTACTTCATTCTCTAACTTTTCACTGATACCTAAATATTTTTTTATATGCATGGTTCACTGAAACCTAGAAATTCAATATCAGGCTCCTATACATCATGCACATTAATGCATTTTTGGTCAGACACAAGAAAGAGATGCTACCTTTGTATATGCAAATTTTGTAATGTATTTGAAAAGGGTTGAATTAAGCGATCACGATTTTCAATACCTGGAAAAATATCTAGTCATCAAAATTTTAGTTTATGAAAAAATGTGTACTTTGTTGTCTAACAGGCAAATTAACTTATATTTGTCAGCAAAAAAGTTGTAAAAAACAAAACAAAACAACAAACTTATGTCTACAAAAGTAATAACACTCTAGTCACTAACTGCATTATAAAATTAGTAAGATTATATTAGTGTTATTACTTTTAAAACGCACTTATAACTTTTATGATTCATTCTTTGTTCAAACAAAATAAGTAATTCCAAATTTTAATTGAAGTAAAAAAGCATCTAGAAAAATATAGTGGATATTAAAATAATACTAAAAACTTCAGGCACTTAAAGAAATACATGCTTTATAAGAAATATTTTGCATCTCTAAAATGTTATTAATGGTCCATCATTAATTTTATTTTAACTAATAAAAGTTTTTATTTGGTTGATTTTTTTTTTTATGAGCGATGGTTAAGGAAGGATTCAATTATCTTATAGATATTACCTGATACACTGCAAGAAGAGAGCTTTTTTTTTTTTGTAAGTATTAATTTATCTCCCTTAGGTTGGGTAGACCACTACAGTCAAGAAGGCTTCTTTAGTTGTTGTTACAACCCTCTCTCAGTTCTATAACTCCGAAACACAAACCTTGATCAACAAGGCTGCTCGTGGAAAAAATAAGTTGAATGTAATTCAAAACAATTTTTACTATTGTTAGAAACCATTGTAAAAAGGTTTTGTATCACACCAATTATTACCTCTTTTCTATTCTAACATACTCACTGTCGAAGCAAATTATAATCACTTGTTTTATCAACCAAAACTTATTTTTTGCATGACTTGCATTTCCTTTGGCTAATTTGCATCCTTTTACTGTAACTGTTTCCTCATGTTCAAAAATTTTTATTTAATCAGTATTATTTCCTTGGGTACTGGTACTTTGGAATTCTCTCCCATCATCTCATGTTTCTTGACTCATACATTTTAAAGTCTTTTTTCAACCTTCTTGTTCTATAACTATCTTCTTTGTTTTCTGTTAACTCCCAAGTTATTGCTTTCAAATATGCAATATTACTGGAATGTGTTGCTTGCAGCCATTTGTTCGAAGTAAATTTGTTTCAATAAGTTGATCTTATAATAAGTCATAAATCAAGTTTTATTTTGATATTAGTGAGTATTTAAAATCTTTGTATAAAAAAAAAGTTAAATATACTTAAAATGTTTACTTAAATGAATATTTAAATAAAAAGTTTTTTTCATATAAGTTTACATTTTTTAATAATAATAATACCATTAATATTAATTAATTAATAGTAATAATAATAACAATAATAATATTAATAATAACAATAATAATAGTAATAACAATATTAATAATAAAAATAATAAACTATTAAAAAAAACGAATATATTTAATATTGTCTTTAAAATTTAGGAATGTTTTAACTCTCCCTATGGGATACAACACTTTCCATCATATGCTGAAATGGTTCCTGGTGAAACCAGTCAAATGCTATCTACTATGGCTAAAGATCATTCCGTATATTTATGTGGGGGTTCTATACCTGAAAGAGACCATGATCATTTATACAACACATCTTTAGTTTATGGGCCTAATGGAGATCTGGTTGCTAAACATCGAAAAGTAAAACATTTTTTAAATTAATTGATTGTTTTATGTTTACTATAAAATGACTTATTTTCTAGAACTATTTTTTAATATATATATATATATATATATATATATATATATATATATATATATATATATATATATATATATATATATATATATATATATATAATATATATATATATATATATATATATATATATATATATTATTTAATAATCAAAAATATATAAATCATATATATATATATATATATATATATATATATATATATATATATATATATATATATATATATATATATATATATATATAAACACACACACACACACAACACACACACACACACACACACAACACACACACACACACACACACTGCTCTCGGAATTAGGGTCAGCATTCAGCAATTTCAACCTAAAAATATTTGAAGTCAGCAAAAATCATGTGTCACATTTTATCCTCATTTTTTGGTTATTGCTCCTAATTTTAAATATAATTTTGTAACAGTTTGAAGTAAAAACATTTGTTAAAGGTCATATCTGACTGTTTTTAATTTGTAAATGCATCATTTATTTTATACTTTGTTTGTAAGCCAAAATCTTACAAACATAGTATAAAATCCAATGCAGTTTTTTTGCTATTATAACTAAATGCAGTTATAACTAAAACTCCAATCAAGTACTAACTGAAACTTAGGGTCTTATTTGGTTTGTTATAAATATTTTAAATTATTTTTTTACTACTTTGGTTGTCATAATATTATGGAGGTTGGTTGTTAGCGTAAGACCTGAGTAGTAAGGGTGGGAGTTTTTTACAGTTTTTTTTTTAAATCAATTTGCCTTAATACTACTGGTGGAGAAATAATAAAAAAAGTATTTTAAAAATAATTTTAACCATAACAGTTTCAAAAGAAGAAAACTTTTTTCAAATATTTTTTTGAAATAATAGATTTTTTCCAAAAATATTGTTGCAATAGATAGAAAAGTCTTGTTTTTAAAACGAATGATCTTAACAGATAGAAAAATCTTGTTTTTAAAACGAATGACCTTAAAAGATAGAAAAGTCTTGTTTTTAAAACAAATGATTTTAACAGATAGAAAAGTTTAAAAAAGGAATAAACTAAAATATTAGTTTAAAATAAAATAAAAAATTTACATAGGGCTGAAAATACCTTAGGAGTGTTGCTGTGGCTAGAGGGTAAGAGCCTTCCCCTAACCTGTCATTTGGGCGTGAAAATCTTAAAATCATTCCATTACTAGGTATATTACTAAAAATAAAGTCCTTGTATTTGAAAAAAAGGCCTACAAGTTTGCAGGTCCTGCAAATTATCTAGCATGGCTAGTCTTCATTCTTACAAACTACCCATAAAACTCTATGTAACTTAGGTAAATAATTTTTTGTTGAGTTCTAAATTTTTATTTATGAGTCTTGGAAATAAATATAGTTTAAACACTAAATTTTTTTATTACAATAACACACATAGGCAGGTCAAAATTTATTACAGTATCTCAGAAATTTGGCCTTAAAGTTGATGACTTTTCTTTGAAGAAATAATTTAACTTTCGCAAGTGACCTTTCGTACGCTTAATTTGTCTAATCAATATATAATGGACAATCATTCCAACTATCACATTGTCTTTCCAATTGTTATATCATCAAAATTTTTTCTACAAAAGAACCATGGTCAAGAACCTAGTGATCTACAATAAAATTGCACTTATTATTGATTCTTTTTGTGTCTGAGTCAAACTCAAATACTTCAAGCAATAGCTCTTGAGTTCCATAGTACATTTGAAATAGGCTCTGGTTTAGAAAAATGAATCGTCTGTAAATTTATTGTGTCTTGATAAGACTTGTATCTTTTACATAACAAATCCAGCTCCGTATAATCATACCTGCCATATTTTTTTTTAAATAACTGACCTGTTAGGCTTATATTTTTTAATTAAATGATGGTAGTTACTAATCAACTTATTAATGAATTAAAAGCAATGTTAATAAGGAATCAAACTTTGAGTTCATAAAATGCCTAAGAATCAGGTTGAGTACATGAAGCCGACAAGGATGATGCACTAAATTGGGAATAATTTTTATCAAATGTTTTATTACTCCATTTTTAGGACCTATATTTACTACAGTGGCGTCACATATTACAACAGAAATTTTATTTAATAAATCAAATTCCAAAATAATATTGTGTAATATTTTATAAATAGAAAGAGTTGCCTTTCTCTAATTTTTAAAAAAATTAGATTCGCTCGAAATGCAAGTGCTATAATAATATTGTTTGTCTATGCTCTTACCATTATAATGTAAGCACCACTTTTCTTCAATAGAGTCAATATAAGAACGAATCAAGCTTATTTATGCACAAGTGTTGTAGATGCTTTTTGGACTGTGGATCTGCAAATTGATCTCTCACTAACTGCATTGAGTACAGCTTCTGCAATCTTTGCCGTACAAGTTCTTTTCTTTTAGGTGGCAGGTCTTGCAGATGTGTTGTAATAGGCTCTGTCACAATGCTACCTTTGTACCCATTGGAAGGTTTCTGAATTTCATAAAAGAGTTTATCTTCCAGATTTTTAAGTTTAACCAAAGATTTTTTTTTCATTTTTTGACAAAGTCAAATAGTTTATCCCAGCTATTTATAATACTTGTCTTCTTATTTTTACTTTCTGTTACTTTAATAACAAGTTTATAATTTTGAATAGCAGACTTTACTTTTCTTTGCACAGATTTCTCCGTAAAACATGGTATCGTCAATTTCTTCCATAATCGACAAACTTCAATTGAGATTTCTTTAATAACATCACTTGATCTAGGAATGTTACCGAATTCTAAACAGAATTAATTTCTTCATGATATCTGCTTTGTCTTTTTAATAATAATAATAAATTATTATTATTAAAAAGACAAAGCAGATATCATGAATAGTTATAGGGCTTGATTTTAAATTTCAGTGGATTCTTAATCAAATTTCCATATAAGCAATTTCATGGCTTTGAAATATTTAAAGGGCAATCAATTCATTGAATTAAATTATTCTCTGATGTCTTATAAATCTAAAATATATTTAAATATATATATATATATATATATATATATATATATATATATATATATATATATATATATATATATATATATATATATATATATATATATATATTTAATAATATATAAATATATTATATATATATTAACATTATACTTTATTTAAGGAAATTTTTTAAACTTTTGACAATACTTTAAAATAGATTTGCGCTTTAAAATAGAGTGTTTTTCCAGTTTTAGGTAATTACTCCACCAATAGTTATAGGGCTGTCACTTAAAAAAAATTCCCACCCCTACTGTGTAGTTGTTTGGGTTAATGTTTGTTCTCTTACAGTTTTTTAGGGTAATATCTCATTATTAATGAAACAGTGTAAATATATTTATTGTAAGTTATTGTAAAGCTTTTAACTAGCTATGTTAACAAGGTTTTTTCTGCCATAGAGCGTTTAACTAGGAAGATTTATACCACCTTCCTTACGGAAGTTTGTCACAAATATGGCCAGGGCAGGCAATATGAGCAGAGCAGGCTAATGATTCTAGTACTCCACCTTCACTTTTAGACTTATTTAATTTTATTCAAGTCTTAAATCAGAGCTGAACCCTCATTATATAACATTTTATAACAGATAACAGAAAGAGGGAAACTTTTTATCTTAAGTCTTTCTTAAATCTTACTATTTATAAGTGTCAGAAATTTATGTGAAAAAATCCTAAATACTAATATAGAGTTGCTTAATAACTTCAGTTTTCATAAAAATGCATTAAGGGAAATGGGAAAAATATCCCAAATTATTAGTTTTACGTAATTGAATTTAATCAATAATCTTCATTAATCAGAAATTCAATAAATTCAATAATTTCCAATAATTTCAATAACTTCAATTAATCTCAGAAAGGCTGTTATTAACTGCTGTAAAATATCTAGATATTAACAGTGGAGTGTTGCACATGGGTGGTGTAGCTCTTGGCATGCATTGTAGAGGCTACATAATATATTTTTTGTTATGACTTTGGGTTAAGTGGTTTTTTAGGTAACTGCATAGCTTGTTGCTAGGGGTGTCATGCACTCTTTATAATTATAGTTAATTATTTATAATTTTGATAAAAATCTTTTCTCTGAAAAAATTATCAAGATCTTATTGCTTCTGGTGAGAGTTGAATTTCAGCGTTGATGGCTATTATTATTTGATTCATAATGATTCACTTATTTTAATCAGTTTTTTTTTCTTTTTATTGTACCCTGCTTTTCAAAACAATATTAAACAATACTTTTCTTTCACTTTCATTCTCTTTTCAAAACTTCATTCTTATTTCACTTTCATTTTCATTCTCTTTTCAATCTTATTTTTGATCAAATGAGGTTTGGAACCTTTTTCCTTGTTAATTTTAAATCAGGCCTCACTCTACCGATCGTTTCCATGGTTTTCACCTTCTGTTGCATTTACTATTTCTAATCAAATCTTTTTCTCGTTTTCATTTGATCAACTCTCTTGAAAACACACATCTTTTTATAATTGCAAGAAATCAAAAGTTGGTGCCTGACACAAAGATCCATTATTTCCAAGTTACAAAATCTCTCAGAAATTAGGTTCTTAGAATTAGAAAAAAGCTTTAATGAACCTTTTCTTTTTTTACACTCAGTGCATTCTGATCACTAAACTATGGATAAAGGAGTTTTTTGTTTTGTTATATTATTCACAAATATTGCTTGCAGTAAAAATTGAAATTTTTATCTTTGAAAAATATTTTAGCAGTTACTTTCATGCAAATATGTGATCCATTATGCAAGCAGAAATTCCATTCTAGATGTATATATTTTTTCTTTATTAGAAGAAATCTAATTTAGAGCAAGTTAATATTTTGCTAGTTGTTTTTGTTATTTGACCTAAATATTTATACCTAAGTCATTTTTTGTTATACGAAAATCTTCGTAATTTAATTTTTTATGTTTTATTTAATGTCTCAAGTTAAATAAGAATGAAAATGAGAATTGTAAAACAATAGTTTTGTTATAAAACAAATGTTTTATTATTTTAACTTTCAAAATTAACAAATGTCATAAAAAAAAGTTTTAATTTTAATTTTTTATTAAAACTGCAATTAAGATAAAATAAAAACTACAATTAGTTTTATGTAAATATAAAAATAATTTAAAAACTAAATTAAGTTTGTTTTAGGTGCATTTGTTTGATGTTGATGTTCCAGGGGGTATCAAGTTTAAAGAATCAGATGTTTTGAGTCCTGGCAACAAGTTGACAGTATTTAATGTTGGTAAAAAAGTTTTTTTTTGTTATAAATTTATACATTGTTATAATTTATACAATAAATAGTTTATTTATTAAAAACTTTGTTGACCAATAAATAATCTTGCTGACCATTTAAAATTTTCTTTTTTTGTTGTTGTTGCACAATTAACATCATTAAGTTTTTTTAATGTAGTTTTTTATACTTATAATTAACTCTAAGACTTGCAGGATTGTTGGAAGAATTTTAAACTATTACAGTAGCAATCATGAATCACAAACTTTACATTTCTAATCTATTGCCAATTCTCTGTATATTTATATAATGTTTCTACCCCAACCAAAATATTTAGTAGATCAATTTTATATATAAATTTAGTTATACTTATCTTTGTCTTTTATATATATATAAATTTAGTTATACTTATCTTGTCAGTTGATGCTTTCTCCATAAATCTATACAAAACACTATTATATAAATTTTATTTATTAAAATTTTGTGGTACTTGAATTTTGAAAAAAAAAAATTTATTTTGTTGATTTGCATATGGCCAACTATCTTTTAATCTGATAAAAGCTTTGTTTAAAGTTACTATTTGCTGAATCAACTTTTAAAATTTTTTAGAAAGCTGTTTTTAACTTTTGTTCTATTTTATTTGATACTAACTTTGTTTTAATTTTTAATTTAACTTTTTTTTAAAAGTTTAGTGGACTAAAAAACAAAAAATATCAGATTGTAATCTTTTATTTTTTTGTAAAATCTTTTGAAGTAAACTCTCCTTATTAGAAACATTTTATGTAGATGCAAAAAAAAAAAAAATTTTTGACTTATTTTACTAGTAACAGTAATGATGTTATTAACTCATGAAGTCTCTCTCTTTTGTTAAATACTTTATCAGCTAGATAATCTTTTGGTGCTTGTTATATTTCTTTATTTATTGTATCTTTATTTCAGACTATGATAGATGCATACATTAAGATGATTATACTTTTTACATTTTCTGATATAAGAATTGTGCGATTTGCATAAATTGTTGGATAATGGACAAGTTCTTTGTTTTTAAGACCTACCTATGCTAAAAGAGTGTTAAAAATATAGAAAATTTAGATAAAGCTTGTGGTTTAAGGAAGAGTGGAATAAACAGCAAAATTAGGATTCGAGACAATAAAATTCAATTTACAGACATGAAAGTTGTTGGAATATTTATCATGGCTGCTCTTGAAATATGTTCAAAATATGCTAAAAAGTTATAATTATTATTGGTATTTTTCTACCAAAAAAAAAATTGTTACCATTGGTAACAAATATGATCATGGTTAATGATTATTCCTCAAAAAAAAAAAAAATTAATTTAGTTGTAAAGAAAATATTTTTTAAATTATTTATTCTGTCCTGCTAACCTTAATTGCAATAAGTGACAACATTATTATTTTTTTTGCCAACTGGAGAAAATGTTTTATGATTAGCTTTATAAATAAAACTTTTTATAAGTATAAATTTTAGAATGTATTACATCTCTGTGCATGAATTTTTTCTGCATTCCAGAACAAAAGCAAACTGTGTCTCCTGACATTTTCTCAAAAAATTTGTACAAACTGCTCTTGCTTCTATAAATAATTGATTTGTAATTAATTGCAAACAGTGATGACAGTCAGGTTTTTTTTTTTTTTTTTTTTTTTTGCATAATTTAATTAATTTAAGGTTAATCCTTTGCATTTTTCATGTTATTAAACTGTGCAAATACATGTTGCTCCTTAACAATGCACTTATACAAATCATAAGAAACTATTGCCTTGCTTTCCAGGATTTCTTAAAAAAGTCTTTATGCATTAGGACAATAAAAATCATCATGCATAAGGACAACTTACATCTCATGATAGGTATTGCACATTTCGAGCATGCTTCTTTAGTGTAGTATAAAGGGATAAATGTTTCAATGTGTGCAATTGTTTTGTCATGAGGTCTTTTATTGCTGCATTTCCTGTTTTATCAACAACTGGAATTGTGGCATTTTTAGGGGTACTGGTTAGAATTATGCACAAATCTGTATTTAATTTTCTTAAGTCAAAAGATAAAAGCTCCTATATACATTATGTGGTTTTGGTTCTCTGTATGATCATGTTAAGCCCTTCTTATTTTGACTTCTAGTTTCTGACATAGAAATAAAGTAAAATTTCTACTCTCAGTCCACTGAAAATCCCATGTTTGTTTGAATTTACACTTCTTGCTCCATCAATATGCAGGCCACAATTTTTAAAAAAATAACAGATAATATTTTCACAAGAACTTGTATAACTGAATAGGCTAATTTCATTTTGTTTTAAGTTTGAAAAATGTATTTATTAGGGATAAAAAAAGTTATGAAAATTTAATAATATATAAATTAATTTAAAATTATAACAAATTGTAAGTTGATTGAAATACAAGTAATAGTTTTAGTTCTATTTCAAACCATGTGCGTACCATAAAATTGATAGGAATACAATAAACTATTACACAATACTCCCATAACCTTTTTTAAACTTACATAAATTTTCATGTTTTTTCTTCAATTCTTGCATGACAATATCTTTAAAAAATGATAATATTATGATAATAATAAAATATTATGACTTTATAATAATAAATATTTGGTTAGTAAAAACCTCCTGTGAAGTGGAAATGTGTATGAAAATAAAAAAATTGGACTTATTTTTAATTAAAAGTATCTTCCGTTTTCATCATAGAATCTTCAGCTTGTCACTCTAAAACTGCTCTTTTTTTCTTTTTAAATATAATCTTTGATGCACAATGACTAAAGTGTTGTCAGCAAATTAAATAACTAATTTAATTAAAAAACTTTTTTTTCAGAATAATCAGAATTTAGCAAACCATCCTGAAGTTATTTATTATAAATATGATTATAAATTAATGTTATAAATTCCATGATTATTCATTAGTGAGGCATAATTCACTTTTGTGGGTATGTTCTAAAAAATTTAGTTAATGCAGCATATGCATAAAGATCAGCAAGTGTAGAACAAATTGTTTCAGGTATCCTAAAAATCAAAATGGGAAAGGAAAAATGTTTTAAGAGGATAATTAATGGTGATAAAAGATCTAGATTGCTACGCAAAGAAAAGCATTGGTTTTTTTTTTGCTGGGACTACAGACAAAAAAGGTTATTGTAGTAGTCTTAATCAGGTGTCTTTAAAGTCCCGAGACATGTTGTCTTCATATTAAAAAGACGTGTTGTGTATATTAACTATAGTTAGCTATTTTAGTAAAATTTAATTGTAAAATTTTACTAATTTTTTTTTCTAGAATGTTTTCAATGACTAAAATGTACTAAAACTTCTATGAATTAAACGCACTTGAATAAGTTATCAAGTCTGTATAATGCGTTGGAAAATTGCGTTTATTTTAAAGACTCTGAATACCGCAGAAAATGGAGAAGACAAGCTTTGACTAAAACAACAAGATTTATTTTTATTGGTATACATTTATTAATTAGTTTTAATCAAAAAAAATTTGCTCAGACATTTTTTTTTTTAAACTCTCTTTAATATGAACACAACATGTCTCGGGACTTGGTGGTCCCTTTAAAAGCAATTATGGAGCTTATAAAAGTTATAAAAGTTGGTCATGTAAAAGAGTTTAGAAAGTAATTTCCCTAGGCACAATAAACTCTTTTTTAATTGTAACTAAAGCTGCTCTTTCAAAATTAGGTTTAAATCCATAATAAATTGAAGAAGAAAAAATATACATAAATTTGATTAAAAATTTATCTAATCTTAGATTGTTTTTAACAACTTTGTTTAGTATTGCTTGGTTGCAACACTTAAATAAATAACAATAGGCTAATAGTTCTGAGCAAAATTGACAAATAAGTTTAAGCGTAAGATGGTGATTCCAAAACAACCATGAGGAAAAAAACTCTGCATCAATCAATATTCACAAATCTACCTTGTTATCAAACAAATTCTTTACGCACTTATGAGCCTAGGTACAAAACTTGATGGCCTCATAATAAATGTTATCTATTAACTAACCCGGATTGATTGGAAACTTGTTAAACATCCTATTTTTTACTTAAGTAACAAACAATATAATATACAAGAATTTAAAGAATTTAAAGAATTTAAAGCATTTTCCAATTATAACTTGCCAACCCTCTCTCAAAATCAAAATAAGATTAAAAAATAAACATTTTATAACTAATCAACTGACTGAGAAGCATAACTTAAAACTTTATAGTTTTCAAATAAAGTGGGGTGTTCCTAGGTACATGAACTTCCCCTAGGTACATGAACTTCCCCTACATAGATTTTTCAGCATCTGATAAATAGTTAACAAGTTTATTATTGCTGAATTGCGTCAAAATTGTTTCTAAAGTAATTTAATAGCATAAAAGATACTATTGATTAAGCATTGATAAAATATAATGCTATTGTATTATATATCTAAAAAATATATGCTATTTTTGTATTCAAAATATTTAGATATTTATTTACATTAAATGAATTTTGATTGCATTATGTTGTTTTTTCTATACCTGCATTTTTTTGCTATGTAATCTGTTATAGAATTAATTTACAAACGTTTTTTAATGGGATTTTAATATGAGAACATGTACAGAGTAAAATGAGGAGTGTAATAAATTTTGTTTCTTTTCAAATTAATGTGAAATATAACTTCAGTAATTAAAACCATGTACAAAATTTTTTCGTTCTAACTACATTGTTTATGTTATTTTTTAATAACAAAAAAAAGTTTAGACTTAAAACCTGGCAGTCATTATAGTTCATAGTATATGGCTTAATAGATAATCAAGTAAATAGTTATAAAAGGTTTTTTTAATTTGTGTAGAATAAATTCAAGTCATTTTGAATCTTTTTCATTTTCAATTTTATTAACTCATCTGACATTAAAGTACAAGTTAATATTGTATATCAATTATATTTAATATATTTATATATCATATATTAAGTGTCATGAAGATTTATATTTTTTATATTAATATATATATATATATATATATATATATATATATGTATATGTATACATTTTAAATAATAATAATATATATATATATATATATATATATATATATATATATATATATATATATATATATATATATATATATATATATATATATATATATATACATTTATATATCATATATTAAGTGTCATAAAGATTATTCAACATGTTGAATTATTTGTGTATTAAATTGCATTTTAATTTTTTTAAGATACATTAAAAGTTGGACTTGGGATATGTTACGATATTCGGTTTCCAGAAATGTCTTCCAAATACTCAGATGAAGGTTTGTTTTCAAATTAAATGTTTTTCAAAAGGTTAAATAGGTAGATTATTTGATAATGTTTTTTCTTGCTAAACAATTAAAAAAACATTTTATATATTTAAATTAAATTATAAGTAAATTTTCTTTGAAAATAAAAAAAACTGTGATTCAAATGGACTAATTTATTTTAAGTTTAATCATGTTTTATTATTATTTTTTTGTTTATGTTTTTTTAATTATACTCAATGTGTTGATCAATTTTAATGTTAAAGAAAAAAACATTTAAAAGATTTTTACGGAATGTTTGTCCAAATATATTGTGGGTGAAGTTGCCTAAATGTTTGCAAAAACTTCAAGAAATCTGAGAGATATATTAACTCTTGTTATACTGTTATAAATTTGTGTGGTATATAAATTGTACTTGTGTTCTGATTTATATCAGTAATGCTTGTATAATGATTATATAAGACAAAAAATTAATATGTTATTGATAATGATATTCTGTTTGATATCGATAAGACAAAAAATGAAAATGTAAATTTGTGAATATATTAAAAAAAAAATTTTTAACACAGAACAAAAGCCATGAAAGGCTTTTTGTGAAATATTAAATAACTAGTATTATTTCATGCTTTATGAGAATTTCAATTAAACTACAGGAGTTGATCATTTAACTCTCAGTTATTATATAAATTTACTATTCCAAATTGCAAATCCTTTTTAAAAATAAAATACAAGTTCTCATGAATTTTGATACAAAAATTATTACCAAAGCAACACTGGCAAACAAACTTCAAACCCGTGATCAGTTGATTACGCGATATTGATATTGATTCTTTAAGGTATTTTATTGAAACAAGTAATAAAATAACAATGATCTAGTTCTAATATATATCATATATTAGAACTAGATCATTCAATAACAATGATCTAGTTCTAATATATATCATATATATATGTTTTAGTGTTATATCATATATATGTTATAATTTATGTATAGTAGTCCTCAGAATTAGTAAAAATAAGGTTGGCAATAAATTGCTCTCAGACACTTTTGGATCAAATGTTAGGTGGGATAAAAAAAGTTATTTAAATAAGAATCAATTCAATATGGGTTTATCTTTTTAATATAGATACCTTCTCAATACAAAAACTTCCCTTAGTTTTAAAAATAGTCTTATTTATTGGGAGTCACTGTATATAATGGAGGAAGAGGAATTATTTACTCCATTATACATTTACTCCATTATACATTTCCTCCATTATACATTTCCTCCATTATACATTTACTCCATTATACATTTACTCCATTATAAATTTACTCCATTATACATTTACTCCATTATACATTTACTCCATTATACATTTACTCCATTATGCATTTACTCTATAATGGAGGAAGAGATTAGCCTATATGAAGAAGAAATAAAGAATGTTTATAAATAGAAATATTGTCAGAGTTTATTTGGAAATCTTTTTTTTTTTACTGTGTTTTAATGCTCACTTTAAATTTGCCTATAATTGATAAATTAAGTTTTAAAAAAATGTGTTAAAAATACATTTAAAGTAAAAGTTTTAATTAACTAAATTAAAAAAATTATATAAAGCATGTTTTATTTTAAAATGTCTTCACCATGATGCAAAATATTTACATTGAGAAGTATATAAATAATACATGTTATACAGCCTAGAACAAAATAATCTTTTAAGATTTGTGCCATTTATCTGATGCTTTTCATTTTTGAGAAAAAAGTTATACAATTTAATATTTTGCCGATTTATAATTTTGAACATTTAATAAAAACTTTAAAAGTTCTTGAAGATCTTTTAGAATTTTTTAGAGAGAGAAAAAAATTGTGAAAAATATTTTTAAGGTAAAATTAAAGTTATTTTAGTAATTTTCTAAAAGCTTTTTTTTTTGGAAAATATATAAAGAAAACTAAAATGCTTTTTTTAATATCTAAATAACTTCCTTACTGGTGTTATGTCCAGATGTTATCCATTTATGTTTGACTGGTATGAATACCTTAACTAATGTACCTAAACTGAGCATTCAGTAAAATTAAGTTTATAAATTTCAACATCAATAAAATTCTTTGTAAAAAAAAAATAAATGCAAAGAAAAACTTTTTTGTTAGTCCGACATATTACATATTATATATTTCTTGTAATATATGTACATAAATATATTGCAACTGTTTGGAAGTAAGTACTTTTAATTATGAAGGTAGTTAAAAGTAAGTTTTCTGAAGAAGGCTGGACACCAAATATTGAACATACATTTAGCACTATTATAAAAAATTATTTTATTATCTAATTTGAAATAATTTTTTTTGTTTATACAAAGTTCAAATATAACAATTTTAAAGTAAATAGCAAATTACCGCCATTGTTTTTAACAGATAAAGAAATAAAGTTTGATATAGTAGTTGCCAGATAAGTTAAAATATTAATGCACAGCAAAAATAGAAAACAATATTCTTTAATGAAAAAGATTTTTAAGGGTTTAAAAACTAATGTTGAGCCTGCGCTTAATTTCATTTACAAAAAGAAATGTCCACTAATGATAAAGCTGATGAGTTTGGTGTTGTTGGTCTAGATAAATTTAAAAACGAATTTTGGAAGTCAGTTATTGAAAGATTTTGAAACACAGAAAAGAAAATTGATTTTTCTCTAAAAAAAACATATTTATGTGAGGAAAATTCATGCGCAGCACAAAAGAAATTAGGCATCAAAATAATTAGCAATTTTTTTTTAATTAGACAGCTGTAAGAGAACTTTTAAAGAGAAAAAAAAAAAAGAGAAAACATTTAATTAGAAACAGCTGTTGTTAGCCATTCTAAAAGTAATATTTAAAAATTTTATTTGCACAACACAATAGTGGTGGATTTTTTTTTTCTCTCATTGCTTTTAGAATTGCTGGGCAAAAGACTGGTTGGAGGGATTCAAATTCACTCAAATTAACTTTGGGTTCATCTTATTTAATTTTAATAATTAATAATAATTGATTTTAATAATCTTAATAATCAAAATTTTAGTGAGTTGTAGTTTAAATTTAATGTTGTAAAGTATTAATTAAAATTTTTTATTAGACCCCTATAAATTTATAGTAAATCAAGTTTTTATATATTAACATTATTTTTTAAACAGTGATTCATCCACTTTTATTGAATATTATTTTGTAACTAAATGTTTTCATTATGGCTTAAAAATAAATTAAAGAAACTGTTGTTTTACTTCATTTCAAAAATCCAATGGTGCAGAATATACTAGTACTATGCAATTTTGATACACATTTTAAGTATAGATCTAGTAATATTTATGTAGTTCTGCGCAAAGCATTATTGATAATGTCATTCTAAAATAGCATTTAAAGTTGCTTCAGTGCATTGACATACATTGACTGTAATTTAACCAGGATCTTGTTATTGCAAAAATCGAACAATTTTTTTTTTTTACTTTGTTTGAAAAAGTGTGATTTGAGCATTTTATACATCAGAGTATATACAAATTACACTGTTCTTTTATGAGTTCTCAAAGTTGTCCTAAACTATTGTCATTAACTGCTTTTATATTTTTTGATTTTTTTTTTAAGTAAAACTTATAGTTTCTGATAAAACTAGTTTTTAGCAAAACATTTTTTCAAATTTTCTATTATTGAGTATATTATTGAGTATATACTTTGGACCAGGGCCTTCTTAACAGAAGGCCTCAACACTGTGCAGGAATTTTCTTGACTGTTTTCTTTGACTGAAGGCCAGTAAAAGCTGTAGCTGCTTTCAAAGAAATTTAAAATAAATAATTTATGAATTAATAATATCATCATGTTAAAATGCCTTAAAAATGCTGCGTACCAAATTGTTACTCAAATTATAAGTCTTCAGATTGTAAAATATCTGTATACAAATTTCCTCGTGAAGTATCTGAAAAAAAAAGTGGTTTATGAGTATTCCTCGCTCACGCTGAACTTTAACAAAATATAGTGTCGTTTGTAAATTGCATTGGCCAGAAGATGTTGAGTTTACTTTATATCGTGGTAAATTGAGACCAATTAATCCTTCGTCAGTGTTTCCGAATATCTCTGAAAGTTGTCTATCCTCCTCACCACCAAAAATGAGAAAAACTTTATCCTCTTCAAAAAGAGGTATCGAAAAAGCTGAATTAGAAGATTATAGAATAATTGATCATTTAAAGTTTGAAGATATTAAAAAATACTTATCTACTGAAAATGATATAATTACTTACAAGCAAAACAATTCTATTTTTATCCAGTCTAAAGTTTTTAATTGTGGGGTTCCACTATTTTTGCTAATAATTAATCAGAGTTTAATGTTTGAAGCATTTCAGTATAGTTCAAAATGTACTGTTAGACCTCTTTTGAAAAACAGAATAACTTCATTTAATACAAAGTCAGCTTTAAATGAAGCTCTTAGATATCTAAAAGTTAAAGATGAGGATCATAAAACCCAAATATTATTTCAGGATTTAAATGTAATGGAAGATCATTCTGTTGGCTTAATATTCACCTGATATAATAACCAGAGCTCTTGAATATTTTGCAACAAGTTGTTCCACTTACAATCAATTGTGTTGTGATTATCATTTGCCAAGTATTCGAACTTTAACTTGTATAACTTCAAAAATAAATTCTCACTACGATTTGGTTTTTTTAAGGTCTGTGCTATTAAATCTTGAGGAAAAAAAAAGAAATTGTGTTAAATTGATAGATGAAGTTTATGTAAAAGCTGCTTTATTATATTAAAGTAGAAATATTTTCGGAAAAGCTGTTAATAATTAAGAGAAATTAGCTACTACTGTACTTTCATTTATGATCAAAAGTCTTTATGGTGGTCCTGAATTTTTAGCAAGAGTTCTACCAGTTACTAATCTAACATCAGATTTCCAACTAGACCAATGCAAGTTAATTGTAGACACCATAGAAAATTCTATATGTAATGGTAAAGTAGTTGCAATTATTACTGATAGTAATAAAGTTAACCAAAGCTTTTTTTTCTAAATTCAAAACAGTAGATGGAAAACCTTGGTTATGTCAAAATGGAACTTATATTTTATATGAACTTATATTTTTTATGTCCATCTTTTAAAATGCATTAGAAATAATTGGTTGACAGAAAAGTTAGGTCAATTGCAGTTTATTTATAATGAAATATCTTACATTGCAAATTGGAGAGATTTAGTTAACATATATACACTTGAAAAAAACCAATTATTAAAGTTATCTAAGTTGACTGAAACATCAATAAATCATAAACCAATAGAACGACAAAAAGTTAGTACTTGTTTGCAAGTATTCAGTGAAAAGACAGTTGCAGCTCTAAAAACTCATCCTAAAATAGACCAAGAAAGTGTCAAGGGTACTATTATTTTTTTGGAGTTGATTATAGATTTTTGGAAAATAGTGAATGTTAAATGTCCTGGTGCTAATCTTAAATTTAGGGATGAGTCCCGTAATGTAATCAGATCTTCAGATGACATTAACTTGAAAAAATTGCTTGCTATTTCAACAATGGCTGAAAATATGAAACTAACATCTGATAAACGAGTTTGCCAGCTTACAAAAGATACAAGCAATGCACTTTCACATACCTGTCATGGCCTAATTGATTTATCTTGCTATCTTTTATCAATTGGAAATGAATATATTATTTTAGGTTGGTTTTCTTCGGATCCGATTGAAAAATGCTTTGGAAAATTACGTCAAGGATCAGATGGTACTTATTTTATAACTGCTAAATCAGTTATTGAAAAAATTGCTGTGAAGGAAATGATGGCCATGACTGTCTTTTATGTCTTGTAGATTTAGATGATAGGGAAATTGATATTGTTTACAATTTAGCAGATCTAGAAGATAGCATAAATATAGAAATTTTATATTCTATTGTCTATATTGCTGGTTATGTTCAAAAGTGTTCCCCTGAAGAAATTGGAGATGATACAATTACATATTATAAAAAATACGGAAGTTATTTAAATACTTTAAAGAGGACTAACTATGACATTTGACACTTTAGATCTGACACTTTAACTCAATGGTCCTTATTTTGCTATATATTTTTTTCTTTATTAGATAAAAGAGTTTGCAGAACATTTCTGGTTTGACAGTTTACATTTATTGCAGAATTCTACGAATTTTTTATATCAAAGAAACAATGCCAAATACTGGCAAACATTTTTTTTAACTTTGCATTACTTCACACTCCTAAAAATAATAAAGAAACTAAACTTAAAGAAATTAAGTTTATGTAAACGTTTTTTTTTTCTTATTTAGTGCAAAATTTTATTTTTATATTACTTATTATATCTTTTAAATTGAAAATTTCAATTGAAAATGTTTTTATTTAACTTTACTTTTAAAAGTTATTAATTAACCTCAATAAACTATTTTTGCAATAAGAAATTAAGATTTTTTTCAAACAGACTGGTAACTATTTGTATGTGTTAAATTTTAGCAAAGCTATATAACTTTTACTGGTCTGCCATTTTTTTTTTTTTTAATCGGCCTTCAGTCAAAGAATTTCCTGCACGGTGTAAAGGCCTAATAAAGAAGGCCTAATAAAGAAGGCCTTGTTTTGGACGTATATATAATATTAAATTTAAGTTAAACCAGAATATATTTTTTTAAATGTCACTTGTTCAAATTTGTCTCAAAATAAATTGCTCAAAATTAATTACCAAAATGAAAATATTAAGTAAGGAATATTAAAATGATAACTAAAAACAATTATTTTTTTATTATATAATATAATAACTAATTAAATAATAATTCAATTTACATGAAAACATAATAATATTTGGAAACATAATAAACATTTCATGGAAACATAATAAACATTATAATTTACATAGTAACTATATAATGTGTAAGTCACACTTCACACTTTAAATCTTTTTTACTTTAAACAAAAGTGATTATGAAAAAAAGTTTAAGATATTTGGATGACAAAACCTACCACCTATTATCATACCACATAACTTTACATACAACAAACAACATCATATCACTTATCTACTTTTTGCTGAGTAAAAATATAATTGATGAAGAAACAGTCACATGCTATTTTTAACATTTTGTTTCATTTAAAAATTAGTATTTTGTTGCATTTTGTATTATTTCAATTAATAAATAATTAAATTTAATTTTTGTTTTATCTGATAAGTTTATATTAATTTAAGTTTTGATTTGATTATATTGCTTAGACATCATTTATTGAAATTTATCATTGAAATTTATCTATAAGTACTCTCAGGTTAAAGTACTTTAAGTACAAGTATAAAATTTATGAAATTTATTTTATTTTTTATAATATTACTCAAGTACTTAACTTTTATAGAAAATAATTTTAGGTTGCCAGCTACTTCTTTATCCAGCTGCGTTTAATATGACCACTGGACCAAAACATTTTCAACTTCTTCAACGAGCAAGGTAATTTTATTTTTTAACTTGATGATATTATTAATTCTAATATGAAATATATTTTGCT